CTTTGAAATTTCCTGATTCATGAAAAAGTCTGCTGGATACTATGGGCTTGTAGGCTGAAGATGGATGCCCCAACAGTACAGAAGAACTTTGGTGACTGTCCAGGTAGCAAGATGTGTCTGTCAGTTCTTGAGTTTTGAAAGTTGCTTACAATGAACTTATTGTTTACTTAGGTAATATTATATCATTCTAGAGTCTTTGATGGAGTTGAAGAATGTATAGTTACAGTTTTCCTGAGTTATGATAAAGATAAAATACTTATAAATATTGTAACTTTAATTCTTGCTTGATACCTGTTTTGGTCTATGTAATTTTACTATGCTAAATTTGAAGCCTTGCTTTTTATTTGAACAGAAAAAGGGAGTGATGTGAGATTTCCCACTGTATGCTGTGATTACCATTAATGAATAAAGAAACTTCTTTGAACCTATAGCAGGACAGAACTTAGGTAGGTGGGGAAAACTAAACTGAATGCTGGGAGAAAGCAAGGCTGAGTTAGGGAGAAGCCATGTAGCTCTGCTGGAGAAAGATGCCAGACATTTGCCAGTAAGCCACTGCCATGTGGCAATATGCATTTTAATAGAAATGGATTAAATTAATATGTAACAGTTATCCAATAAGAAGCTAGAGCTGATGGACAAAGCAGTGTTTTAAATAATATAGTTCCTGTGTGGTTATTTTCAGGGCTAAGCAGTCGGAAACCAACAAGCAGTTCTCCACCAACAGGAGACAGCAGGAATACAAGGAACATACCTAAACATAATAAAGACAATATACAGCAAGCCAACTGACAACATCAAAATAAATGGAGAGAAACTCAAAGCAACCCCATTAAAATTGGGAACAAGAGAAGGTTGTCCACTCTCTCCTTATCTAGTATTTGAGGTCCTAGTTAGAGCAATAAGACAACAAAAGAAGATCAAAGGGATACAAATCAGAAAAGAAGTCAAATACTAATCATTTGCTGATGAAATGATAATTTATATTAGTGACCTCCAAAAAATCTAACAAGGAATGTCTACAACTCATAAACACTTTCAGTAATGTAGCAGGATACAAGATTAACTAAAAAAATCAGTAGTTCTCTTTTACACAGAAGATAAATGGGCTGAGAAAGAAATTAGAGAAACATCATCCTTCACAATAGGAACAAATAACATAAAATATCTTGGAGTAACTTTAACCAAACAAGTGAAAAACATGTATGAAAAGAGTTCAAGTCTTTGAAGAAAAAATCGAAGAAGACACCAGGAAATGGAAAGATCTCCCATGTTCTTGGGTATGTAGAATTAACATAGTAAAAATGGCAATCTTGTCAAAAACAATCTACAGATTCAATGCAATGCCCATCAAAATCCCAGCAAAATTCTTCACAGACCTTGAAAGTACTCAACTCCATATGGAAAAGTAAAAATCCCAGGATAGCCAAAACAATCCTATACAATAAAGGAACTTCTGGAGGCATCACAATCCCTGACTTCAAACTCTACCACAGAGCTACAGTACTGAAAACAGCCTGGTACTGGCATAAAAACAGACAGGAGGACCAATGGAAGTGAATAGAAGACCCAGATATCAATCCACACACCTACAAACACCTGCTATTTGACAAAGAGGCAAAAATATAAAATGGAAAAAATAAAGCATATTCAAGAAATAATGCTGGCATAAGTGAATATCAACACATAGAAGTATGAAAATAGATCTATATCTATTGCCATGTTCAAAACTCAATTTGATCAAAAATGTATCAAAGACCTCAACATAAAACCATCCACACTGAACCTCACAGAAGAAAAAGTGGACCGTACACTTGAAAGATTTGCCGAGTTGGGGGGCTGTGAACCCAGATCCTGAATTTCCTGTAAACAACTTGTTATGCTTGCATCTGCTCTGAGCAAAACAACTTGTTTTGGGCTGGAGAGACGGCTCAGTGGTTAAGAACATTGCCTGATCTTCCAAAGGTCCTGAGTTCAATTCCCAGCAACCACCTGGTGGCTCACAACCATCTGTAATGAGGTCTGGTGCCCTCTTCTGGCCTGCAGACATACACACAGACAAAAATATTGTATACATAATAAATAAATAAATACTTAAAAAAAAAACAACTTGTTTTTCCTGTGTTTGTAGCTACTCTGAGCATGAGACCCTCAGGAGTTCCTGATGGCAGGGGAGTGGTTTCTCGCAGGGGAGCGGTTTCTCGTGTGTTTGGCTGGGGCGTGGCTATCAGTTAAGGATCCCTACATAAGCAGCTCTGGTACACAATAAAGGGGGCATTCTTGTTTCATGGATGACCCCTGTGTCTTTGCTGTTTAAATCTCCAGGCCCTTGCCCGGCTCGTGAATGGTCCTGCAATGCAGGTGCCTCAATACAGGTATAATACACATAGTGGTACAGATGGTACAGCCCAGGAGACCACTTCCTAAATATAGCCCCAGCAGCAGACACTGAGAGAAACAATTAATAAATGTTCCCTCCTGAAACTGAAAAGCTTCTGTAAAGCAATGGACAGAGTCCACAAGACAAAACGGCAGCCTACACTGGAAAAATATCTTCCCCAACCCCACATAAGACAGAGGGCTGATCTCCAAGTATACAAACAACTCAAGAAATTTTTCATCAAAAGAACAAATTGTTAAGAAAAAACGGGGTACAGACCTAAACAGAGAACTCTCAACAGAGGAATCTAAAATTGCTGAAAGACACTGAATAAAATGTTCAACATCCTTAGCCATCAGAGAAATGCAAATCAAAATGACTCTGAGATTCCATCTTACACCTGTAACAATGGCCAAGATCAAAAACACTGATGACAACTTCTGCTGTTGAGGTTGTGGGGTAAATAAACACTCCTGCATTGCTGGTGGGAATAATTAGAATTGTTTTACTGGCAGAGCCTATACCACACCCAAATTAGCTGTTAATAGAGAGCTATCTGTTAGCAGAACCTACCTCACATTCCAAACTATCTAGAGAACTAGGTGTGTCAACCTGTGAACTCCTGGCCGAGGAATCGTGACCTGACCAAACATAACCTCCTGGCCTAAGTGACCATGGACCAAGCGACAAGATTCCATGCCCCTGCCCCCATCCCAAGCCAAACTCCTCATCCTATATAAGCTGTAACCATACTCTAATAAACAGAGGCTTTGACAAGAACCCCGCTTGGCCTCCTTCCTCTTTTCCCGCCCATATCTTTCAGATAGCGCCTCTCCGGGACCCTGGAATTACTGACCCTGCCAGGCGGGTTACACCCCTAGACTGAGTAACCTGCCAAGGTGGTCTACAGCTACAGTACAGCCCCTTTGGATGTCAATGTGGTGATTTCTCAGAAAATTAGGAAACAACTTCTTCAAGACCCAGTAATACCACTTTTGGGTATATATCCAAAGGATGCTCAATCGTGCCACAAGGACATGTGCTCAACTATGTTCACAGCAACTTTGTTTGTCATAGCCAGAACCTGGAAACAACCTAATGCCCCTGCCCAAAAAATGGATAAGGAAAATGTGGTACATATACACAGTGAGGCACTACACAGCAGAAAAAAGTGACATCTTGAAATTTGCAGGCTACTGGATGAATCTAGAAAACATCGTTTTGAGTTAGGTAACCCAGACCCAGAAGGATAAATATCATGTGTCCTCATTCATAAGTGGCATTTAGACATATAAAGAAAGCCAGCCTACAATTCACAATCCCAGAGAGCCTAGACAACAATGAGGACCTTCAGAGAAACAGATAGATCTAACAATCTACATGGAAAGTAGAAAAAGACAAGATCTCCTGAGTAAATTGGGAGTATGAAGAGCATGGGAGAGGATAGAATGGGAGGGGAGAGGAAGGAAGGGGAGCAGAGAAAAATGCATTGCTCAATAAAAACAACAACAACAAAGACAACAAGAACAGTTCAGGGTGCAGTTCATCTCAGCAGGGAACTCAAGACAACAGGAGCCGGAAGCAGCTGGTTGCAGGGCATCTATACAGTCAGGCAGTAGAGACCAGTGAATGTTCCAGGCTCACTACCCCTTTTATACTGAGTCTGGGACCCCAAGCTTATGGAATGGTGCCGCCCACTTTTAGAATGGGTCTTCCCAGCTCAAGCTAAGACAATCCCTCACAGTTGTGGCCAGATGCCTGTCTCCCTGGTGATTTTAAGTTGTGCCATATTAACGACTACAACCACACAGGGCAAGCACTTGCTGAGCCATCTCCCCACGCCTGTTTCCACTGTGTTTGAACATATAAAGGTCACACCTAATGCTTTGCCTATGTTGAGTGTGCCTGGGCCAAAGCTTTCCTGAAATAACCTCCAGGCCCCCATTGTACCAAAGGGCTGGACATGCTCTGCAGCAGGGAAAGCCCTGGGAGGAGCCGTTCACACTGTGAGTCCATGAACATGACAGTCTGATTCAGAGCCTTCCGCCACTGCAATCTTCCGCATGAGATACATAGGAGACTCAGGCCACTAGCAGCAGTTCCTGGTCCATCTTCCCAGAGCTTAAAGGTTCTCAGTCATCAAGAGCAGATCCTGGACAAGGATCGCATCTCCCAGCCTTCCCCACTAAGCCTCATATGCCTCTCTGTGTAGCTGTCGCCTCTTGGTCCATATTCTCAGTGCCTTCTCCATTTGCTCTGAGGTCTCTCTCATGTGATGGAGCCTGCCACCCCTGGAGAGCTTTCTGATGGGATTGCAGGAAGGGATGTTTGGGAGTGGGCAACTGTGACAGCTGGAGGGAACAAGATCCTTCAATGAACAGAGTTCTGTCAGTAGCAGCAGCAGCAGCAGTGTTAAGAGTAACTGGTAAAAACTGCCCAGAGATCAGCAAGCCTGCATTCTAGGGTTGGCTCTGCCCTGAACCAGCTAGGGGTCTTGCAGGGAGTAGGGTCTTCCCTGTGCCCCAGCTCCCAGTTATTAGAAGACACAGTTTCTAGCGTCCTCTCCAACTCTGGAGCCTGGTGATAATGAAAGCTGAGAGTCACATAGAAGGGGGAAGCTCACCTCTTGTCACCACCAGGCGGATGGTTTTGAGAACAGCGATTGTTCCACGATTGTCATGGATCCCACAGTAATAGAGACCTGAGTCTCTCACTGTGCGTGTAGTCATGGTGACAGTGAAGTAGTAAGAGTCAGGGTGGTCCTGGATGAAGATTTTTGACTGCTGAGCTTTTGTGCTGAGACTGGATGCTAACACTTTACAACTTTCTGTTGATGTTTTCTGACACCACACCTTCATCATGTTGACTTGTTGGCTGCGATTATACCGGCAATTCACAAGAAAGATCTGGCCCTCCACTGCTTGCAATAACTCTGTGTCCTCTGTGCAACAGCCTGGGAACACACACACTCTTCAGGTCAGAGAGTCCTCCCAGTCTGCACAGCAGGGCTAGGAGATGGGCTCCCTTCTCAGGGAGTGACCCTCTTTGTGTCTATGTTCAGGATGCAGCTTAGAGCCAGTTGCTGGCCACAACACACCATGTGTTCCACCTTACTAATAGAGCCCCATTTTGCACACCTCCCAACCCCTTCCCTCTCCTCTCCCTGGTTCCTTCCTTCTATCCTTGTCCCCTGTCCTCACCTGAGACCAGGAGCACCAGCAGAATGGGGGATAGCAGGTATGTGTCCTCCCAGGCCATGGGTCCTCTTCTCGAGCTGTAGGGGAGCAAGCATGGAAGGAGGGAGGGATGCTCTGAGGAGAGGAGACCAGGGCAGGGCAGGGTCCAGGCAGCCCCCACAGCCAGTGCAGGGTGAACTGCTGAGGAAGCTGGAACACCGAGAACAAGAGGGAAGCTGAGCAAGGCCTGTGTGGTTCTGTGGCTCCTCCAGCACAGGCTTTGTGCTGAGGCTTCTGAAATGAACTAGATAAAGGGGCACAGAGATGCTGTAATATCCTGCCTTATAGACCGGAGTGAGAAATTCTGAGAAAGCCCAAGAAAGAACCAAAGTAAATTAAGAATGTGCTCATTTCTCTTCAGCACCACCCACAATTCCCCCACTTCCTCTTTAGCCACAAGTTTGTGTTTTCCACCCACATCTGGCTCCCCCTGAAGGCAGGTGACAGAACCAGAGGCCCTTTGGAGACCTGGCTAGAACTCTAAGCCCACCTTACTGTCAGGGGTCAGAACTTTGCTGATTAGCTCACCTGGGAACCAGGAAGTTCCATGTGGACTAGAGGGGATGAGGAGAAGGGGGTGGACGTGCAGTCTCAGGAATGGAAGAGCAAGGGGGTCCTGCTTAATGTGGGAGACCCCAAAACTGGGAAAAAAGGGAGAGAGCTCAGAAAGAGGGAAGGGAAAGGGGAGCTCCAGCCCCATATCACCCCCATATACCCAGCTTCCCAAAATGTCACAGTCACTGCTAATGTACTTATTAAACACACTTCAAAAATAACTGTTACAGGAGTAAATTTAGAGATGGCTCAGCGGGCAGGGACACTTGCTACCAAGACTGATAACCTGCTTTGATCTCCATGACCCACATCATAGAAGGAGAGAATCAACACCCAAAAGTTCCCCTCTGACTTGTACACACGTGAAAACTTTAAAGTAAATTAAATAAACTGTTATTACATGAGCTACAAGAAGTCACTAGCTACAGGCTGTTCATAGTCAGCAGATGAGCAGGCAGAGAACCAGGCATGCTGGTGCGTGACTCTAACCCGAGACCTTGGGAGGTGGAGGCTGGAGGATTTGAGGTCAAGTTCATCCTAGGCTACACAGCAAGTTCAGTCTGGACTACATGAGACCCTGTCTCAAAATAAACAACCCCCCTCCAAAATTAAATTAATATAGGAACAGGGAAGCTCCTTTAAATGACAATGTTGTGTACCAGCTAAGATACCAGGTGACAAGGAGTGACCCAGATTGCACAGGACTTGAGAAAGACTCTGGGGAGGAAAGGGACAGAATGTACAACACTAATTCAGTGAGGAGCCCAGGCCCCGTGTGAGGAGGTCTGAGAGGCAGGGGAAGCCTTTGACCAAGCTGGCACAGGGAGCTAAGACTTTAGAGAGCAGTGTCAGTCAGTGGCGAGGCGGGGTGTCTAGGAGGAACGTGGGCCATGGGAAGGTGACTTTCAGCAGCTGAATTGCTCGCTGAGGTGACATCTGCATCCTTACCCCTCCCAGCATGGAGCAAGTTGTCCAAGGATGCTGAGGGCAGACCTGGCAGCATGCATCACTCTAAGCAGAGCAGGCATGCATCTGCAGCCACGCTGTGACCTGTTCTGAAGCGTGCACAACTGTAGCCCAGGGTTACTTCACCTGCTCCTTCTGGTCAAACAGTGAGCTTTGTTCAGGGGATTCCAGTCTCTATGGCCCTTAGCTCAGGAAGTGGTGACTTCTCCAAGGCAGCTCACAAAGTGACCAATAGCTCAGAGGCCTGGAGGACCTGTGGGTGTGGAAGCCTCAGGGCAGGATGGAGAGTGTGGCCTCCTGTGCTCTGAAGAAGTGAGAGGCTTCTCTGAAAAACGGTGAAGACTAAAGCAGTGAAGCCATGAGGGTAACCGCATAGGAACAAAGACTGCAGGAGAGACTGGAACACACTGGTCCAGGACAAGAAGCTGAGACAAGAGCTGTGGGTTCCCACCTTGTAGGGTACCTGGAAAGGGGGCCATTGAGGGTGTCACTGGGGCCGCAGACAAGTCAACAGACAGGCTCCTGTAGGGGAACAGGAAGAGCACAGCCAGGCTCTGCCAGGACACTGAGGCCCTGCCATCAGTCTGAGCCAGCCTTTCAGGCCTCGGTGGGGTCTTAGGTGTTCAAATATGACACCCTGTTAGTGTTGTTCTATGACCTCCAGTTATCCATCGTGAGGACCCCAGGATAAGCACGAATTGTAGTTTTAATGTGAGATATTCCCTTTCCAGCTTGTTGCACACTTGGTCCCCAGGTGATGGTGTTGCTTAGGTTGGGATCCCAAGTCAGATGAAGGATGGTAGAGCATTGCCCATACCCTGGACATCTCTCAGAGAGCATGGCAGGTGTGGGGTCTCTCCCAACCCAATTCAAGACTGGGCCTAACCCAACTTCACAGAGACAAAAGCCACATGGTGATAAAGTCAGTCAGGCTTCTGTGTCCTGTCCATCCTCCCCTCCCTCCTCTAAAGAACTGGCTTTTCAGGAATCATGTGACCAGCAGCCCAGTCTGCTAATCTGACTGGAATGCTTGGAGGCCCCTCCTCCACTGCAGCACTTCCTCCCTTGACTTCATTTTCCTTCTCCCCAGTGCCCACAGATAGATAAGCTGACCCTGTGATTTTAGTCCTAAGAAACAGTCTCCAGGGTCCTTCATACCCTTTGCACTCACACTGAGACCCTCCTTCCCAGCTCCTCTGCATCCTGGGACTGCCAGTGATGGGGCGACCCACATTTGGGACCCTTGTGGAACCTTTGCGGGTTGGAGTTTCTTCAGAGAAACTGGGTCACTGGAGTCAGGCTTGGAAGTTGTATAGTTGGGTCCCACTTTGTGTTCCTTATCTGCTTCCTGAGTGCAGAGGCAGTGTGACCAGCCTGCCTCCTGCATCTGCCAGCGTGTCTTCCCTGATGAGATGATTGCACCCTTCTGGAACTATGAGCCAAAACAGATCCTGTGTCCCTTAAATTGCTTTTGTTAGCATCTTTTACCATAGCAATAAGGAAGTAGACACAACTCAAACAAATGTCAAACCCAAGAAACCAGGCTACTGTACTCAAAACATTTTGAGTAAGTTCACATGGGCCACCATAGTGAGAGCCATGAGGAGCACACCTGTGAGCATCCCAGTGAGCACTCCTGTGAGCACTCTCATCAGCACACCCATGAGCACTCCCATGAGCACAACGGTCAGCACACATATTATTACACCTGTGAGCACACCCGTGAGCACTCAGGCCTTCTGAGTTTCTCTCTGTCATTCACAAAACTGCAGGTAGAGACAGCACCTACCTTGCAAAGTCCTTGAGAGGATTCGTGAGATACTGTATTGAAAAGTTTGGAGCTCAATAAATATGAGATATTAATATTCAATGTAAAATCATAGTGGACACATAGATCAATTGGTAGACTACTTGCCTAGCTTGCAGGAAGTGCTGGGTACAAACTCCAGGGCCACATAAATTTGGCATGGTGTCTCACACCTGTAATTGTGGTACTCAAGATGTGGTGGAGGATCTGAAGTTCAAAGTCATCCTTGGCTATATGAGAATTCTAGTTTTTTACTTAAAATATCTATCTCTTTTCTCTATACAGATCTAGGAAGGGAGGTATGACATCTTTCGTTATTATTTGTTCTCCTCAATTTAAAAATAAAATCTCGTTGTTAAGATGGGGGCCACAAGCTGTGAGGGTGTAATCCCTACACCGGGTATGCTGAGGCAGGAGTATTGTTGTTTTAAGGTCAGTTTGGGCCACATAGTGAGATCCTGTCTCAAAAAAAATCAAACCAAACCAAACAAACAAATAAAAACAACAACAACAAAAAGAAAACAATTCCCCCTCCACGCACACAAAACCCAGGTACTGGGTTCTGGAGAGATGGTTCCATGGTTAAGAGAGAGCACTGATCTTACAGAGGACCCAAGTTCATCTTAAGAACCCACTAGCATCAACCCAGCTCCAGGACCCAATGCCCTCCTTCTGGATTCCTCAAGCTCCTGCCCACTCACAGGTGTATATTCCTCTGCCTTCTGGATGCACATAATTGAAAATAAAATTAAAAAATGAAAACAAGGGCTGGGGTCCATCAGTGGCAGAATATTTACTTATCATGGTCAACAGCTGAGTTGGATTGATACCCTCAATATGAAAGAGGAAAGGGCTCCTTTTGCAGGGCTAGAGAGTTTGCTCAGTGGTTAGAGCACTGATGCTCTTGCAGATGACCTGATTTTGTTTCCCAGTATCCACAAGGGGACTTACAACTCTCTGCAAGTCCAGTGCCAGGGGTTTTGAAGCCCTGTCTTGTGATGAGCTTTTATTCTGTTCTGTGAGTCAGCTCCCAAATAATGACAAAGGGACTTCTTATTAATTATGAAAGCTTGGCTTTTAGTTTACACTTGTCTCAACTAGCTCTTATAGCTTAAATAAACTCATTGATATTAATCTAAGTTTTATAATGTGGCATTAATTCTCTTCCATCTTGCACCCTGTGTTTCCTCTCTGTGTCTCTTTAGCATCTACCATGAACCTCAACTCTCTTCTCTTGCAGAATATTAGTTGAAGATGTGTTGCATTTGTTAATACCGTGAAATATTTGTTTAAATGATGCAACGGTGCATTGCATTCTTTTATGTTGCATTTGTTTAACTCTGTGAAGCTGCCTAAAACACTAGTTTGGTCTAATAAAGAGCTTAATAGCTAGTCAGGAAAGGTACAGACGGGAATGCCAGGCAGAGAGAATAAATAGAAGGAGGAAAAGAAAAAGAAAGAATGGGAAAAAGAAGACAGGACAAACAAGGGGTCACTCATCCAGCAACACAACAAGAAAAGAACAAGAGATAAAGAAAAGACATACAGACATAGAAAATGATTTAAGCCCCGAGGTAAAATATATATGACATGATTTAAAGAAACCGGAATACATGCCAAGCTGAGGTCTGGCATTCATAAGTAGGAATAGCTTCTGTGTGATTATTTGGGAACTAGATAGCAGATCCCCAAAGAGAAAAAGCATAAAAAAAAACCCGAAACAAAACTCCAAAAACCACACTTCCTTTTTCTATTTGCCTGGAAGATTTTTTTTATACCTCCTGGCTACCTATTTACTATTGAGCTTTTTATTACATGAATCATAGGAAGGCAATACATGTTCATACACTGTACAAATAACTCACATCACTCTCTGGCACCATCTTTGGGTGTACCAAACATGCACATAAGT